CTTCGAAGCCTGGCCTCGCTGATTATTAATTAGATCGTGCGTGCCTTACCGAGGCAAGCCTCTCGATTTCCCGATAAGCTGCTGACCATCGGTGTGGGCTTCTAGCCATGAAAACTCCTGCGGTAAAACGAGTATTAATGGAAACTGATAGACCCAACCGATTATCTTTGCGTGCAAAGAGACGTTCTAGTTATATGCGTGTTGGATTATCTTTGTTTGAATTTCATTTTACCCTCCTTATACGGAACAGTGGTGTTTTTAAATGATTTAAAATAATGTAAAATGATTTCAATATTAAAAATGCTGCATAGGGAATATTTGAATCGCATCGGTTTGTCTTAAGATCAACGTTGATTTACTATTTTTGCTATTGAAACAGAAACATCTATTTTCTTTATTACACAGTGTGTGTTCTTTTTCTGTTAAATCCTTTGCAATTTATAGATACTTGAATCAGGTAGATCATTTGTAACACTCTGGGAGTCTTCTCTTAAAACAAAAATTACTTTGAAACTTTCGACAAGATATAAGTGACATAATGACAATTATAGGAAAAAAATATAGAAATAGATAGAATTTTTAAAATACTTAAGCGTTGAAAATTAGAGCTACATACAAATAAGTAATTTATGTCATACCGATTAATATAAGAAGGTTTCCCTAAAGATTCTTAGGATTCTTAAAATTATCTTAACAATGTTAAAACATTTGTTCATCGTCTTAATGATCTACTGTTCAATTTGTCGAGAAGTTTGACGTTCGCGTGGCACTAATTCTTGGAGATACTGTCATCTCAAAGGCGATTATCAATTGCCTTGTCAATTACACCCCGTCCAAGAATGACGTGCACATGTTACTGAACCCTCCTGTAACTAGACCCCTGCTCTTCCTCTGTGTTGCTGCGACCGAATCTCGAGGCTCTGGCATGATCGCAACGAGTTATTTAATTACCACGATCTATCACCGGCTGTCAGCTTCCAGTCTATAATGCATGATCGATCGAGCCTCGACTTTCCTACGGCAACCCTTTGCGTCCACACCTCCGGTCCCGTGTGTGTTACGCGTGTTCATCTAACCGAAACGCCAAGAAAATCTCTTCTGTTCCATCAGATTTTCTGTCGTTGATACCTTTATACCTTTGTTTGAGAAAGCAACTACGAAGTATTTTCTTTCCTTTTTCATATCTCATAGTAATTGTTATATTACAAATATTGCTTACGTAATATAATATATTGAGAGCATTCATTATTTTACTTCTTTTCCTGAAGAATTCCTCACTTTTTCTATATCTATAGTATAATCGCATAAAGTATTTAATGTTCGACCTTATTATCGACCTTATTACGCCATTTTGGTGATTGTCGCTTTTCCTATTTTACGAAACATAGTATGTACAACGTACAATCTGACGATCTTATTAAACGAATCCTATATCTTCAGTTTATTAAAAATTGATCAATCAAACGTACCATCAAATTTCTAAAACTCTTTCACACGGTCGAGAGGATTTCGATGTTCGGAAAATGCAAAGCAATCGTGACATTCAAAGTGCAAAGCATTCTGCGTTCGACACAGATTAAATCCAACCGTATTGAAACGAAATTCCTTTGTTGCTCGTTGAACCTGGTGCAAGCGTTTTCAAAGGGGCGCACGTATTTAGACATTATAATTTTTTCACAGTGGAAGGGAATCAGGAATCGATTAAGGTATAAGTTTTATGAGAGGAAAGAGAGATCGGTTGGAAGAGTGGAACGAGCTCGCTCGGCGCTTTTCCATCGTCATTTTTATCGGCGCGGATAAGACAGCCGGGCTAATTCGCATTCCCCTTGATGTCTGCCGGAGTTAACAGTTTTAAGGGATGAAACGAGTATAGATCGAAGGCTGGAAGCATCGCGAAGGCGAAGGAAGACGATGCTTAAGAAGGGAGAAGACACGCAGGTTAGGGGCGACGACGAGAAAAGGAGACGAAGCAAGAAATTGATACAGCATACGAAAATGAATTGCCCCTTTGCCGAAGAATGTTCCACGGCAATCTGCCTTGTGCCTCGCTTTCTTATACTTTTTATGCTCATTTTCAATTTTCCCCATACTGCCGATCCACCGGGCTCTCCTATAAAACGTTGCGGTAACGTGTCACTCGCGTCTCCCACTTGCACTTTTATTCTTTCCAACGATGACAGGATGAATACAAACTGACTCATTATTTCCGCCGCCTTGTTTCACGTTGCGATCGAAAATGGATTATGTATATGATTCTAGGTATTCAATTAACGAATTCATTATTCCTGGAGGAAGATCTATCGTTTTATGGAGAGATAGCATTTTTTATTTTATTGGAAATTCCATGAAAATGTTGGTTTGTAGACTGATCAATCCAAGTAAAATTATTTACGACTGCAAATTATCGATCTACTGATTTATCATTTTTTTCATTCTTTCCTTTTCTGTCGTTAATGAAATCCACCGTTAAATATTCTTTATAGAGAAACGAGTAGATCTAATCATGCAATTTTCTTAATACTCCTGGTATAATTTAATTCACAAATCTAGAGGTACTACGTATTCCATGGAATCTAGAAATTTTGGAAAACCATCTGTAAAAAAGACACGCAAAATTTTGTACCGATTTACCTTCTTACACCTTCTTTATTTAATCTACTCAATTTAATCTATCAAATGTGTAATCTATATCCGTAGAATCTTTTTCTAATTTCTATCCCTGTGTCTGCCCTTTAAAATACTAACGTATGTTCAAAGACGACCGCGTACATTAATCACCATGATCGACGCACATACATATATACAACGTGTAACAAGTACAATTAAAACATGACAGGCAGACAATGATAAGAATCCGAATCGAATTTAAAACGACGTCCTGGCAGGATGGCGGGGTCGAAGAAGATAAATTTCAGCCCGTGGATGCGAAATCAAGGCTCGAGTATCTAAAGTGCTTCCAAGACGAGTCGTTGCTGGTGCGAGATAGGGCCATGTTCGTTCCGTTGCTTATTTGTCGCTGGAGAAACGAAACGACTGGGGGAAATGGTGAGTCGGTTCTGGGGGTGGAGTTGAAGTTGGGGATTCTTCGATACGGTACAAATAACACTTGCAGACACCGATTCCACTTTCTCTCGTTTTCTCTCTTTCTCCGTTGCACGTAGAAGGAGCAACTCCAGATTCTTCCATTCGCCTCGGGACTCCTCCATTCGTGGTTCGATGGCTTCGTAGATGCTATCGCTAAGAAGGAATTCGGAATCCTAAGAATACCGCGATCGCGATACTGTCTTTTACTTGCGATACTTTTCTCTTCGCTACGAATAGCTTTAAATTTTAATTCAACTTGTTTCGATTAAATGAACGAAAGGCTCGTTAGAAATTATAATTGCGAGTTTCATCGTATTGCATGATTTAAAAAAGAAGAAGAGACATTTGCAAATATATTGTATGAAATTATTCGTCCACTCCCCCCACAGTTAGAAGCATCGGACGAAGCAATCTCGTTCGTTCAGCACGAAGCATTTTTGGAGCGTTCTTAAAGCATTCTTAAAGCATTCTTAGAGCACTGGAATGTTTGATTTCTAAATCGAGCAATCTCCAAACGACAGGTTCCCCTTTTACACTTTCGTTTTACTTTATTGTACGCAGATTTAGAGTGACAAAAAGAAAAGAGGATTTTGAACATTCACGAATATAAATACTTTTTATTATATTATTCGAAAATTTTGTATTGTTGAATAATAGAGTAGGTCACGTGTGCTATACCTGGAAGATCGACACAATAATTCAATTACTATCAAAGCGTGACGAATTGAAGCATTTCGTTAACCGTTATAATCAGCTTTAGCGAACCAGAAGAGATTAAGCGGTTGCGAAAATTTCGGTAGAGCGAGGCTGAATTATTTAGCAGCGCGGAAGAACGTATCGGTGGTAAGCAGCAAGCACTTCCTATTTCCGTTCCGTAAGCCTCCTTGCCTTTTTGTCCCGCTCGACAACAATGGACCGCCTCGATTTCCAGCGCGGAAACGCGTTTCCTACAGTTGCTTGAGCCGATTCCGCCGTCAGCAAGGAGGCAAGCGAAGAAAAAGCATCGATCTTGGGGAAAAAAGCGACGCGGGTTCCGGTACGTTCTAATTGATATTTTAATGGATTGGCCATGGATAGGGAGAGAGGAAAAAAAGAAGTCCTTGAAAATCACTTCTCTGCCCACAAACGGGAGACAAAGGAATTAATGGAAGTCGCGGAAATCCACCCTCGGCCGTTGTTCCGTTTTCACGGCTATCAATAGCACTGTCGAGAGAATTCGGGCCCGGTCAAACGCCGCCTGTTATAATTTATTCAAATTAGCACCGGGATTATTCATGAAAAAGTTACGACGGAGGTGAACTGACGTTCGCCGAGGACGTCGCCCGATAATATCGCTCTATCTTTCCCTGCGAGATTAATACGGCTTTATTAATGCATATTTGACCGAAGTGCCGGTATTGCATTTATACGAGTAAGAAGTTTGCCGGCTATGCGACGTCTAAGCTTCGTCTCTCCCTTTTCGGCTGAACCGTCAAATTTCTGCGGGTGTTTAACTTACTTATTACACGATTGAAATGTAATCTCCCAAAATTTCTATACTTCTGGTCCGTGTCTTAACTTTTTATGTAGTAACTCTCCTCCAGTTGTCCGAATAACATCGTAACATCTACATTTGTACAGTTCAAAGGATTAATAAACATATTTAGTAGGAAACATAGTTAGCGTATCGCATCGTATCTGGAAAAATGTTGAAATTTCATTTTGGATAATTTGAAATGAAATTTCTAATTACGAATGGTATAATTCGAAATTTGGAAGATCGTAAAACTTATATTTGAACAACGTTACTAATTAACTGTAAACGAGAAAGAGTGTTAATTTTGTCTTCGTAACGGTGGTAAGTGCAAAATATCTATGAAACAGTTCAATTTATAACC